GCTCGCCAGACAGACAGAGAGAGACATAGAGACAGAAAGCGAGAAATCACCCCCCAGGGGGGATGGTCACGCCGCAATCCCTTCTCCTCCATTTTCCTCTCGGGATCTTGGGCACGCACGCACACGCGCCCGGCGTGAGATTTAAGCCACCGGGTCCGGGACGCGAACCGCGGTCGACTACGTGGGAGTCCAGCGACATAGCCATTACGCTATCTGCTGGTTCCCGAAATAAATAATTCTTTAAAAAGAAAAAGTTCAATAAAATAATTCTTTTTTTAAAAATAATCTTTTTTTCTTTTGAAAAAAAAGTGTGTTCTTGAAAGAACATCCAGGGCGGCCCAGAATACTCACACTGCGGTCTCTTCATTTCTCCCTCTGTTCGAGTTCTTGGGTAGGCACGTGTGTTTGTGCCCAGGTTGTTTCTCAAGCTATTTGGTCCAGAACTCCAACCACACAGGTGGCTATATGGAATGCAGCTGCCTTCGCCATCAGGCCACAGGCTGGCCCTCAGATTCTGTATTTATTTACTTTAAAAAAAAAAAAAACTTACTGCCTTAACCTTGGAAACATATAATGTGGTGATAATGAGTACTTTCATATCGTGCAACCATCATTGTCCTCCATGTCTAAAACCCATTCGCAAAACTGAAAGACTTGGGGCCAGCAGGTGGCATCGTGGTTAAGCCACCAGACTCCTATGTGGTCGACCACAGTTTAGGTATCATACACTGCGGTGGAAACGGACACCGGGGGAGTGTGTGTCCATGCCCAAAATTCCGAGGGGAGTGGAGAAAGGACTGAGGTGCAGCCATCCCTTCTGGGGGTGATTTTTCATTTTTCTGTCTCCTCTCTCTTCAGTGAACGCACACACCCTACAGCAAAAATCTCTCAAAAAAGAAGAAACTACCGTCAGACAGTAACTGTATTCCCTCCTCCCCCAGCCCTTGAAACCTCTATTCTGCTTTTTGTCTCTAATTTTTGACTGTGTCTCATATAAGTAGAATGATTTAGTATTTGTTAGTTTGGGTCTGACTTATTTCACTTAGCATAATGTCCTCAGAGTTCATGTGTCAGAATCCCCTTCCACTGCAAGGCTGAGTCGCAGCTCACCATTACCGCATTTTACTCCCCCTTCATCTGCTGGTGGACGACTGGATTGCCTCCATGTTTCCGCTCTTAGAATAATGCTGCTGTGAACATGTGTGTGCAGACACCGCATCATATGGTAGTTCTTTCCCCCTCTTTTATTTATTTATTTTTAGATTTTTGCTATAGGGCGTGTGTGCTCACAAGAGAGACAGAGAAACAGAAAACAAGAAATCACCCCTAAGGGGGCATGGCCGTGTCGCAATCTACTCTCCATTCTCTTCGGACTTTGGGCATGTATGTACACACACCTGGTGTGAGTTTTAAACTGCCAAGTCTAGGACTCAAACCATGGTCGACTACGTGGGAGTCCAACGTCACCCTTGCACCGTCTGCTGGTCCCCTAGCATGAGTTTTAAGACACCAGGTCCAGGACATGAATGGCAGTCAACTATGTGGGAGTCCAGCATCGTAACCATTACACCATGTTTGGTCCCCTTTTTTTGGAGAGGTGTTTGCTATAGGGCACATGTGCTCGCCAGACAGACAGAGACAGCAAGACAGAAAGCAAGAAATCACCCCCCAGGGGGGTTGGCCACGCTGCAATCCCTTCTCCATTCTCCTCTCAGGATCT